TTGACCAGGATGGTCTCGATCTCTTGACCTCGTGATCCACCCGCCTCGGCCTCCCAAAGTGCTGGGATTACAGGCTTGAGCCACCGCGCCCGGCCACAGATCTAACTTCTAACCTCGATTTAAGAGTTGACTGACCCTTTAAGTGAACCTTTCTGACATTCAGTTGCCTCATAATAATTTAGAATTAAACTATTTTTCGAGTGAGTGGCCACTATATGCAATACATTATGCTCAGTGCATCAGTTTATTCATCACAGCCTGTTAGGGAGATATTATTATTTGACTTAACAGATCAAGATTGAATCAAGAGGTTAAAGGACTAGTCTGGGATCAATTGAAGCAAAGCGAATTTCAGACTCTCATTTATACAGTGTTTTCCCTCTGTCACACTCCTCACATGAGATAATAATGTCACCAAAAGCTTTCATTTACTTATTTTATACATGCTCAACCAATTGTTTAGCATAATTTTGTGCCAATCCTTTGAACAAACCCTAGGAACACAGAAATGAATATTATGTGACCCTGCCATTAAGTGTCCCATAGAGATTAGCAAGGAGACAAAGTCATAAACAAGCAATTATAAAACAATAAGGAAATTTAAGTTACAGAGATATACACATAAACTCTGTATACCAAGGGAGCACATGAGCGCATAAATTCAACATCAAGTGAAATAACAAATATGCCATTGTTTTTATTATTGCTGTGTTGGTTCGGCCATTGTTATTGTTCTTGGTGAGGAAAAGGTGTAAAAACTGGTAAATATGACTAGAGATGCAATCATAGGAAGTTTAGTTTGTTGTCAGAATCCCTGCCAAGATCCCTTATCATAATGTTTTATCAGTCCTTCCTATGATGAAATTCCAAGGAACTACCAAAAGCTATGTGGGTAAATCTCTTTCCCAAAAATGTAGCCCTTCTTCCCCTGACTCCTCAGGCAGAGCTGCTAGGAGACTATGATGGTTCATTTTATGCATCAATTTGACTAGGCAGTGGGATGCCTAGATATATGGTCAAATGTTATTCTGAGGTATGTGTGAGGGATGTATTTTTAGATGTCATTAGTATTTAAATCAGTAGACCCAGTAAAGCTGATTGCCCTCCCTAATGTGGATGGGCCTCATGTACACACACGATATACATTATATAGTGTGTGTGTGTATACATATATATGTATATATACATACATACATGATCTGAGGTGTATATATACACACTGTATACATATACACAAAGACACATGTGTATGTACAGGCATTTACTGCATAACATTGCAGTCAGTGATGGACTGCATATATAATGGTGGTTCCATAAGATTATAATACCATATTTTTACTGTACCCTTTCTATGTTGAGATACACAAATACTTATCATTGTGTTACAATTGCCTACAGTATTCAGTACAATAACATGCTGTACAGGTTTGTAACCTAGGAGCAACAGGCTATACCATATAGCCTGGTTGTGTAGTAGGCTATACCAACAGTCCCCAACCTTTTGGCACCAGGGACTAGTTTTATGGTAGACAATTTTTCCATGGACCGAGGTGGGGTGGAGGATGGTTTCCTGATGAAACTGTTTCACCTCAGATCATCAGGCATTATATTCTCATAGGACTGCACAACCTAGATTCCTTGCATGTGCAGTTCACAGTACGGTTCACACTCCTATGAGAATCTTTTGTTTTTTCTTTGAGATGGAGTCTTGCTCTTGTCTCCCAGGCTGGAGTGCAATGGTGCAATCTCGGCTCACTGCAACCTCTGCCTCCTGTGTTCAAGTGATTCTCCTGCCTCAGCCTCCCTGGTAGATGGGATTACAGGTGCACACCACCATGCTTGGTTAATTTTTTGTATTTTAGTAGAGACAGGGTTTCACCATGTTGCCCAGGCTGGTCTTGAACTCCTGATCTCAGGCAATCTGCCCACCTCAGCCTCCCAAAGTGCTAGGATTATAGGCATGAGCCACTGCACCCTGCCTTTTTTTTTTCTTTTGAGATGGAGTTTCGCTCTTGTTGCCAAAGCTGGAGTGCAATGGCACAATCTCAGCTCACTGCAACCTTTGCCTCCCAAGTTCAAGGGATTCTCCTGACTCAGTCTCCCAAGTAGCTGGGATTACAGAAATGCGCCACCATGCCCGACTAATTTTGTATTTTTAGTAGAGACAAGGTTTCTCCATGTTGGTCAGGCTGGTCTCGGACTCCTGACCTCAGGTGATCTGCCTGCCTCAACCTCCCAAAATGCTGGGATTACAGGCATGAGTCACCGTGCCCGGCCAATCATCTCTTAAATTGATATTAGAAGTCAGATTTCCAGTCCTGTGCCAGATGCTAGAATGAATTAATCAGACAGGATATCAGTCCTTGAGGAACACAATCAAATATGGAGAAAATATAGTAACAATTAGTATCTAGTATGGTAAGTGAACTGCCAGAATTATGTGCAAAGTACTGAGGTAACGCAGAGATGACAATTCTGCTTGGAAATATAATGGACCAGTCATACTTCCTCCACTACAGGGATTGAGTTTTGCCTAATAAAAGCTACTGGAGTTTTTGAAGTGAAATATTAAATT